TGCTGCTGTCTTGTGTCCCCCGACATGAATAGCCAAACCAATTTCGATGAAACCTGTCGCATATTTACATGGGGAACCTAGAATCGTGTGGGAGGAGGAGGAAGTGGAGCATATGATCATTAAGGAGAATTTGGAATTTGCAGTAATAGGCAAATTTTCGTATGGATGGCCAGAGATTCAGGAAATACGTAAATTGATTCCGAAACATTGCGAACTGAGGGGAGAATGCAAAATAGGGCTACAAAGAATAGACATATGCTCATTAGGGCTTCATGTTTGAGGACTATGTCAATCTACTATTCAAACCTGCTTTTTATTTATTACATCGGCGATGGTCTTATCCAATGAGAACTTTGAAATGGGATCCGATGTTTGATCCGGAAAAAGAGACTTCAAGGGCGATTGCTTGGATATCCTTTCCAGCATTACCACCAATTTTTTTCGTTAAAGAGGTTGTTTTCTCACTGGCAGCTGCTGTGGGGAAACCTTTACAGGTGGATCTAGCTACAAGAATCAAACTAGACCTAGTTGCGCAAGGGTTAAAGTGGAGGTGGACCTTTTGAGTGAATTTCCAAAGAGAATTAATGTGGGAGGGAGGAAACATTCTGGGAAAATCGTGGAGAAATGGATCCGTATTAAATATGATTATGTGCCAAAATATTGTAAGAACTGCAGTATTCAGGGACATAATGAGCAAGAATGTTATGTGATACATCCAGAGTTATATCCAACAAGGGAGGGGAGTGGAGCTGATGATGTTATCAGAGAGAAGGGCGACAGAGAAGATAAGAGAAGGGATGATCACCATGTGGAAAGAAGGGAACCAGGACAAAGCAAGGGAGAAGATGCATTCAAGGAACAGAAAAGAAAAAAATGGGGGATGGGAAAGGAAAGCTGGGCAGCTGCAGGTTTGGAATCCAAAACACCGTCAACAGGGGAAAAAGGAAGAGATCATGGGGAACAAATTTGATGCATTGGGCAATCTGAATGATGAAGAGGCTGAGAAGACTACACAAGGGGATGGAGCTAGGGACAATAATATGGGGAACGAGATTGGGTCAACAAAAAAATGGGTAGAGGAAGTTTTCAATGGGAAAAAGAGGATAGGCGAGAGTTGTAGCAATAAAAAAGTGGCGGATAAAGAAAGGTTGATTACAGAAGACAAAAGAAATGATATAGCAATGTTAAATACTTCTCAGACAATTGATAAGGATGATAATGAAGAGAGGGAGAAAAAGGATGAGGGTAAAAAGGTGGGGAATATAGGGGGAGGATCGGAAGAGATGGAGCGTCAGGGCAGTTCAAATTTTGTTGAAGACGGAGTCAATGAGTTGCAGGACCTTACTGAGGACAAAAAACAGCGTCGAAGAGATACAAAGGAGGATGGAGAGGTGAATGAGAATATTGATACAATAGCAAGAGATGGAGATCTCTCACCAAGACAAATAAATAATTTGAAGAGTGGAGTTAAAAAAACATATCTCCCTCTTCAAGTTAAAACAAGGAGCAATAAGGATACTTCTGGGGAAGTTTCTCAATGATTGGAAAAGTTCTATTTTGAAAAGATTCATTACAAATGGAGAATGGGATATTCAAAAGCTAGGACAAATAGTGTCGGAAGAGATGATGTTGTACATCACAGAATGCATTACCCCCCGTCTGACGGAGAAGGGGGATAAAGCTTGGTGGATGGGAAGTACAAGTGGGGAATTCACAACCAAATCAGCTTTTGATATGCTGCGATGTAGAAGGGAGAAAGAGGAATGGAGGGCGAATATGTGGGGCAAATAGATTCCTTTTAAGCTTAGTTTTTTACTATGGAGAATTTGGAAGGGAAGGATTGCCACAGAGGAAAATCTTAAAAGGATGGGGGTTACTATAGCATCAAGATGCTATTGTTGTGAAGAGTTTGAGGAGGAAACTATACAACATTTATTTCATACAGCTCCCACAACCCAAAAGCTATGGAAGCAGTTTGCTTCATGTGCAGGTATTCAACAACATGGGTGTTTGAAACAGATGATAACAGGATGGTGGGAAGCTAACACTCCTATCAAACTGAAATTCATTTTTCAAGCAATACCAAGCATTATACTATGGGAATTGTGGAAACGGAGAAATGCAAGAAGACATGGATTGGATATAAATTTTTATAAGTTGAAGAGTCAGTGTGTCAACACTATCATACAACTGATAAACATGAAATATCCATGGATTAAAGTTCGTAAAAATTGGGGAGAGATAGTCAAAATACTTAAAGAGTACAAACCCAGATTGCATTACTGTGCGGTGACCTGGAGGAAACCTCATAATGGTACAATAAAATGCAACACGGATGGAGCTAGTAGAGGGAATCCTGGGGAAAGTGCCTATGCATTTTGCTTAAGGAACGACAAAGGAGATATTGTATATGCGGAGGCGGGGCAATCGGGAAATAGAACGAACATGGAGGCAGAAATATTAGCAGTCTTTAAAGCACTAAGACATTGCAAGAGATATAATTTCAGTAATTACATTCTAGAGACAGATTCTCTAAGCATTACAAATATAATTCGAGATAATTGGAAGGTACCATGGCAGCAGGCAGAGGAAATAGTGGAAATAATAGAGTTAATTAGCTCTACACAGGCAAAGATTCAACATGTGTTTCAGGAAGCTAATAAACTAGAAGATAAATTGGCAAATGAAGCATTTGAGCAAACGTATGCAATACAAATACATGCTTTCCAACAGTTATCAGTGGAATGTAGAGGAATTGTGAACATGGATAAAGCATAAATTCCATCACTACGAATTAAAACAAGGAAGATAACAGTACAAGCCACACATCAGGGGAGGGATCAGAGAGATTAACAAGGAACACAGTTATGCTATGTACATCAAAATTTTCCACTATACAGGCATACATAACTGTGAAGAAAACAATAGTCCTAGCTATGTCAGCTTACAGAAAGTTCCACCAGCAAAAACGAAGTCGGTCAAATCAGATACGGAGAGGTTGTCTTGGAATCTCTATGTCCGTCTCAAATCAGTGTGGAGTAAGGCAAAAATGGAAAAGTATGGAGACGTGCTTACATTTTCCAAGCAATAGCTCAGGACTTGGCATCAGATCCACTGCACCACCGAAGTTTACCACTACAAAGGAAGCCGAGGTCAGGAAGGAAGAGTGATTGGCATTACAACACATAAATGGAGAGGAGGGAAGACTTACTGCTGCGAGCTTCGAATTATCAGAGTGAAAGAGGTTAGGAGATACACATAAATAATTCACAACTTGAGGACACAGAGATTTTGTTCCTCAAAGCTACTGTGATGAACATTTTCAAGTAAGAGGCGGAGGAGACAAAAAGGATGCAAATGGAAATCTTACTCTCTTTTATAGTATGCCATTTCCATTTGGATTGGCCCACATTTTTTCATGTTTTTTGTTTCATTCCTTTGGGCCTATTTTACGGGTCTATATTTGTAAATTTTGTGTTTATTGAAATAAAGGAGCTAACAGCTCCACCAATATTAATTTTTTTTAAAAAAACTATATCACATACATTAAAATGAGCAATAAAATATTTTGGAACTCATAATTCAAATTCTTTTCATATACCTCAATTAGTACTCCCTTCGTTCCTTTTTATATGTCACATTTTTAGAGTACACTTGCATTAAGAAATTAAGTAACTTTACCCTTTTACCCTTATTTAATGTTTTCTTAAGTCAACTTTTCAAAATATGATGAATATACTAGATTTCAAAAATTAAAATGCATTTGGATGACTATTTAACTTTTTGAGTTTATTTTTAAAATCATATTTGAAAGAATATTGAATGGAAAGAGTAATTAATCAATGTATGAAGTACTCCAATGAATATTAGTTACATATTAGTTTTCCTAGGTTGGTCAAAGTATATATTTTCAAGACTAAGTAATAAGTTACTTATTACTTATTATGCATTGATTTTATGAAATGACAAGTATTACTCCCTCCGTCCCTATTTAGTTGTCCACTTTAGAAATGACACACATATTAAGGCAACAATAATTAGCATAGTGAAGTTACAATTTTGCCCTTATTAATTATGATTCCAAAATAAATTTATTCAAGATAACTAATCAATATTGGGGAAAGTTTAAATTTTCAAGAAGTTTAAATGAGGGTATAATAGGAAATTTTTTTTTGTCCTTTCTTGATTTGTCAAAATGGACAAGTAAATAGGGACATCTAAAAGAGAAAATATGGACAAGTAAATAGGGACGGAGGGAGTATGATCCAACTATTTATAGAAAGGATGACATATAAAAAGGAACGGAGGGAATAGTAAATTACAATTGAATCTTTTTTATAATAGGATTCAGAGTACTTATGAAGTAAGTAATAAAAGTGACAGTTAATCAGTACTTATCTTCAAATTAATTAAAATTATGCCCGGCTGCTAAGAGCAAAACCGTACCGTGGTATTGAAAGTGAATATTTTGAACATGTATACTTTAACGGCTTTTGTGACCTTTTATTTTGGACGTGCATAAGTAGACATTTAAATTTGTATAAAATGGAATAAATAGACACATGTGTGCTACATGATTTCTTATGTGACAGTTCACATCCTATCTGGTGTTCTACTTGTAATATGCCATGTAGGACACACATATGCCTACTTATTCAGTTTTATACAAGTTTAAGTATCTGCTTATGCACACTCAAAGTTACAGAGCATATCAGTAATTACTATTGCTACTTTGCTCTTGTCCTGCATTTCCTTTATAAACTATCTACAAATCTGAATAATTAAGACTGAATTTTTCTCTTCTAACTCAATGACTTTGTTATGGGAAACTCTAGTGGTTTCTCTATTTGTATATGCCTTGTATCAGCTGCTAAACATTCACAAGAGGAAAGTTTCCTCCAAGTTCAACAGGCTTTCCCATTTTAGGACATCTTCATTTGTTAGCTGGTAAAAATCCACACGAAGATTTACAAAAACTAGTTAAGAAACATGGTCTTATTATGTATGTGAGACTAGGGCTAGTACCTACAATCATTGCCTCGTCTGCTGATGCAGCGGAGAAGGTCCTCAAGACGTATGATCACATCTTTGCTAGTAGGCCTCATCATGAGGCATCTCAATATTTGGCTTATGGCCAGAAGAATATGGCATTTGCAAAGTATGGTGTGTATTGGCGCAAAATGCGCAAGTTGTGCACTCTGCACCTTTTGAGCAATCGCAAGATCAATTCATTTCAATCCATGAGAAAGCAAGAAGTTCAATCTGGAGAAGCAGAATTTCAGTTTGACCGTAGTCACGTAAAAGCTACCCTCTTTGTATGTTTACTAGTATAAGCTTAATATACCACAAGCCTTGAGAATGAAATGGTTTGTACTACTAATTAATTCCTCTGTTTCCTTTTTCCTATACCAGACATGCTTGTAGCTGCAATGGACACTACAACATCATCAACGGAATGGATACTCACTGAACTTCTTAGACATCCCCAAGTGATGAAGAAACTCCAAAAGGAGTTGCAAGAAGTGGTAGGCTTTGAAATAATGGTTGAAGAATCCAACCTGGAAAATTTGAAGTACTTAGACATGGTTGTAAAAGAGGGCCTGAGGCTGCATCCTGTAGTGCCACTATTTTATCATGAGTCCATGGAAGATTGTGTAGTCGACGTACGGTTGCCACTACAGATTTTCGTGGACGCGACTTTCAACTTGTACCATTTGGCTCTGGGAGAAGAAGTTGTCCTGGAATGCAGTTGGCAGCTACCGTTGTCCGCCTTATGGTGGAACAATTGGTGCATTGCTTTCAGTGGGAGCTTCCAAATGGTATGCAGCCTTGTGATTAAGACATTGATGAGAAGTTTGGGCTAGTAACATGTAGAGAAATGCCTTTGCTGGCTATTCCTACTTATAGATTAAAGAAATGATGCAAATAGCATGATTTTGTGATTGTTGTGTCATGTGTGCTTCCCATGCTATTCTACTGACTTACTTGTGTGTATGGTCATTTATCCCATTCTATTTCGTCCTCTTTTGATATACTTCTCGTGTGTCTCCTAACTCATGATATTTTGAGGTTTGCTTTGTTATCTTCTGCAGCATGACACCTTGTCCTTGATCTTGTTCCAGCCTGACATGTCCATAGACTCCATTGGCAACGGAAAACTTATGGGCGGAGGAATGTTGCATTGACAATTAACAGTAAATCCTCTACATATAGGCCACAAAAACTGAATTGTCGCTTCTATGTGAAATGAACACAAATGCAGAGTAAATGCGCCAATCTAAACAGCCAAAAATGATACATCCTTCCATATATCCCAAAGACTACAAGAAAAAAAGAATTAGTGACCGAACAAAATTTTGTAGTTAAACAGTCAAAATTTCATGCTACTTTCATTTAGCTACAGATTAACAATGAATTACATGAAAATCCAATTAGCTAGGAGCTATTTTGCAATGGATTAATTAGGAATTACTAATAAATTTTGTAGCTAATAACAAAGGTAATAGAAGGCTATTTTCAGTTTCAGTGATCACCATTTTTGTAAAGAACTATTCCGACCCCTCATTTTACTTTTATTTGTCCACTACTTCAGTACTTTGGACTATGCATGTCGTCTCTTGAAAAATAATAATTAATTTGAGTATTTTAGCACAATATTATAATAACTAGTGTTTAGTATAAAGTCTTATGAAATGATTTGGAGAATAATCATTAATAGCTACAGGTAAAACATGAAAAAAAAAAATAGTATAATAGACAAGTAAAAGTTAATGGGGAGAGTTGAAGTTGAACTTTAGCACCCCTCTTGCTTGTTATTGTTAGGGATAGATGAACAAAGCTAACTGACTTCTCGCTATGTTGTGCCTAGTAGTACTCGAAGCATTGACATTGAAAGAAGTCCCTTAAGCATTTAAAAAAGGAACAAATACAAGGGTTATACCTATTGGAGAACTTACTAGTCTCATCGATTACTCAAAATTCCACTCATACACAGGAATGGAAAGAGATTGATACTTATACTGATATCGAGCTGGAAGAGCACTAGATAGAGACTATAGAGTCCCATCCCCGCTTCAACCAAGAGATAGGGAGACAACATCGTAGCATGAAATGAGCCAATGCCAAGTGCTCTCTTTGTTAAAGGATTAAAGTTTTGAATTCCTTTAATTTGTTGATCTTTATGTCTTTGGTTTTTGGTTGTTGGTTAGAGTTGCGTAGGTATTAGTAACATAGTGATTAATAATATATGGCTTAATTATGTAGGGTTTAGTTATTTTATTTTTTACTCTGTATGAAATATATATCATATATCATCATCATCATAATCATCATTATATTAAAAATGGAAAGCAAAAATAAAAATTTAAATTACTAAAATGTCCTTGTAAAGTCATAATATTTATGGATAAAAACGTAGATAATTAAAATAAATACTATCATATTTTATTAAACACTATTATTATATATTTATGAAAAAATATAAAAATTACGTGAAAATTTTACCTTTTAACCAAATAAATAACATATATTAATAATTAATAAATATAAAATTAGTTTCACTGAAATGCCAATAATTATAGTAGGTTACACCTTTTCAGATTTCCATAATTAAAATAGTATTATTTAGAATATCACTTGTCCCTAATCCAACTATTATTGATTTGGTCCTATAAGCTTCTATCATTACAAGAAAAATATTTATGGCATAGTCTTTACTCATAATTTATTACTATTTCACTAAATAAAAGTAGATATCAAAGTGTCAAAACATTCTTATTTTGTTTCGAACAGTGTTCAATTTCAACTTCAAGATCCGGGTAAATTTACTTTTTTTTTCCATTTTAAAGAAGCTCTTTTCTGATGCCTAATACGCTCTGTAGACTTTTCAATTGATTTATTTTTACTTTATTGTTAATCAATTGTTCTAATACTGTAAATTATCACGTGTGGTCCAAAGATGTTTTCATGTGAATGTCTCTTACTGTCGTGATTTTATTATAGTTATTCTCTTCTTTTTCATTTACGACATATGTTTTTTTTTTTCTTTGTAAGTAATTAAATATAAAATTGATCAACAAAAACTAAAAAAAGTTTACAAGATGAAACTAAAGAAAGAATACAACATGTACTTTGGTCAAGATGAAACTAAAGAAAGAATTGAACATGTATTTTGGTTGGTGGAGCCATGATTAAATAAGGGACAAATTCAAAAATATAATATATTAAGAAAATACAATAATTTATATATTATGCAAATATTATTATTTTGGAATCTAATAAATTATGCTTTCTTTCATTAACTGTGCAAATGTATATTTTAATATACATAAATGTGACCAAATTTTTTGAACTTTTTCAGTTGGAGTAAACCCTTTGCAGATCAAAGGTGTTGAGATTTTTTGTCAATCAAAGATGTCATTGCTAGAGGTTTATCTTGACTCAAATGTGATATGTGTTGAACTTTTATTTTTTAAGCAAAAATCTAAAATAGTAGCATAAATTAATTTGCGATAAACTTATTAACTTTTAAGATTAACAAGAAAATTTAAAACAAAACTTTAGATGACATTGACTCACCTACGCTCAAATAATCACCTAATCAAACATCCTGACTATTTTTCAGATTGAGCTTCTAATTTGTAGATATATTTTATATTATTCATTTCGCACATGTTTAAATATAATCTTTATTGTTCTAATTGACCGCTCATAAATCATGAAACATCACGACTATTCTGCAAATAAAGATTTTTGTAGTTAACATTTTTATCTACTCATAAAAAGACTATTTTAAAATGTATATATATCGTTTTAATGACTCAACACAAATTAACATGGAAGTGTGAAGGTTTTAAGTTTAAAGTTGGATTACGAAAACATCCTTCATTAATTTTTTAATTAAAAAAATACCTTACTAACTTTTAAAATCAAATAAATAATGACAATTAAACTAGACCAAATACATGATTAGATGCTACAACTTATCATTTTCCACTTTTTAATGAGGTTTGATTGTTAGTCTTTTTAGTTTTAAAGCCATGAAATATTAAACACTTTTTTTTTATCTTTCAAGCAAATATTATACCAAAACATTTAAGTGTAAAAATATAAATATACATTTTATAAACATGATAAATAAATAAAAAGGAAACACAAATATAGCCACAGTAGATAAAAAGGCAAATCTCATTTGAATTGATTACCTCTTTTATCGCTTATGAAATAAATGTCTTTTCTTTTAAGTTTATCAATACATTTTTATAATAACTCCTTATGTTCTTCATTTTTTATTCTTCATTCTTCATCTGTTAGCGATAAATAGGACGTAAGTTTATTATCAATTTTATGGTTCCATTTCGCCAACACAACCATATTCATCTACAAAATCAGGTAAATTTAATTTTTTTTCTCTATTACTTTCATATTCACCGACAACTTTTGATGTATACAATTTCTTCCTTTATAAATTGGACATAAAATGTTAGTCCACTAGACTTTTGTATATCATCATCTTATATTTTTTATATAATTCTTTATTTATCGATTATTCTTTCTTATTAATATATTGCTTTATTTGACCTTTTTCATTTTGTATGCATATGATGATATGTATATTTTATTGCTATTCAAGTTAATATGGTTGATATTGCAAATGTTTTCTATACATGAGTTAGGCCATATAATTTCTATACAGTAATAGAGGTCAAACGTGCAAGGCACGTTCCCAAAACTAGTAATATATATATATATATATATATATTACTAGTTCTAGATACGTGCTTCGTTTGTGAGTCCCATGAAAATTTTATATGTGATATGAGTTATATCAAAATCACATTGTAATTAATGAGTTGTCACGCTCCGAGTCTACACTCTGGACGTGGCCCAAACTCGAAAACCATTGTTGGTTCTTAAACAAACCCTTGTCCTGGCTGACTACAAAGCGGAAGACTAACTCAAGCATCAAAACTGAAGAATTGTTTAAAACAGTTTATTAAATCTCAAAGTTATATGAAAATACTAAGTATTAAACATAAAGTTTTAAATAATACACCTGAAATTGAATAATGTCCAACTGACTAAGATTGTATATCTATGAAGTCGCTACTGTATAAAGATAGGTGTCGATACAAGACCCACGACACCTCAAAACGCTACTACTAACAAATTATAAAACTAGAATCCTCTGAAAGTAAGGAGGCCTCACCAAAAGTTGAGGAGCGGATGATGTGATCTAAACGGAACTGTTGTTGATGATCCTAAGTACCTGAATCTACATCATGAAACGATGCAGGTCAAATGACATCAATACATTGAATGTACGAGTATGTAATAAGGCTGAATAAATCAAATAGCCGAACTGAAAGTAACTCAACTAAAATATATTGTAAATCATGATGAAAATTATTTAAGCTTTTACTGTAAAAATGTAATAATAGTAAATACTGAACTGAAATATATAAATAAAAATATACTTTACTTTACTTTACGGGGAGTTTCTCTAACCGACAACCATTAATATGAGCCTCGTGATGATACAATGTTTCGCCCACGCTGTCAGAATTGTTCCATACCTTGCCCGGGTATAGAATTAACTCAAATCATGAATCCATATGTAAGGTCTGCTCATAGGCAGTGAAGAGTCACCAATCGTCGGTGTGATCCTAACCCACGCCAGCTACTTGGTTTATAGGGAATGTGTGTTGTCTGAACTCTTCTCCATATCGGTGCTCAATATTACTCCCATAATATATAACTTAATGCTCAAGTAAAAATACTCTATATAGATTGAGAAAAGTTCTTAAAAGGGCCTCTTTATCAGGTAACTGCTCTGTAATAACTCTGTCTGAAAAACTCTTATACTTTTCTGAAAAGTGCTTTCTTTCTCCATGTAAAAATAATACATTTGGAAATCATTTTAGTATTTTAAAACTCTACTAAAAATTATACTTTAAATTTTACTCTTGAACTCACTTTTAACTTCTCAAAATCAATTTAAGGAAAAATGTTTGATCAAAAGATTCTCAATAAAAACTAAGTAAATGGAGTTCATGTGAGAATATAAACATGAACAATAACTCAAGGATCTCAATGCATAATATATATCAACTCATAATCAAGAATTTTGAATTCGGAATCAATAATATAGATCATCTTAGGAAAAATCAAAACTAAGGGTATAATC